TCCCCCCCCCCCCCCCCCCCACCAAAAACAAAACAAAAAATTATTTTTTTTAAAACAACCACACACAAAAAAGGCGATCTGTTTAGGGGAAAATGCTCTCATTAAATATGTCTAACAAGTGTTCTGTCGTTGGTTATATCCCTTCACCAAAAACTCTCTGAGGAAATAATTTGGTAACAGAGAAGTTTTGAAGCAAAGTTCCCCCATTCCAAACTGCTTGATCTGGTACACAACATCCACCAGCTAAAGCATGTATGAGAAATCAGTCGATGAATGGCCAGTTGTATGATTTTTCCATGATTTCGAGTTTTTCGTGTCCGGCTTTATAAATATACTTCTACAATGATCAGTATAGTGTATCATGTATATAATAAATATTTTGAATATTAAAATATACCTGTATATACGAGGGACGTTCAAGAAGTCTTTACCCATACTATCAAGGAATCCCGCACAACAGTGTAACGTAAAGAATGTGACTTCTATTTTTCTGGGACGTTGCATGTTAAGTTTTATTTTGTTTGGGAGTTTTAAAGTGGGGTTCTTTCTTTTTTTTTTGGGGGGGGGGTTGTTTGTTTGTTGTGCAACTGCATAGGGTCATATGTGCGCATGGGACACATTAAACATGTGCAGTTGGAAGGGAATTTTGGATTTTGCCCTGGTGGCACAAAGTGATCTTTAGCATGCGCTACTTGCACACGAGACCTCCGAGACTTTTCGCTCTTTTGCGAGAAGGCTAGGGGTTAGATCTTTCCTACCAGAAGATCAGGGATGTAGCTGAAAGACAGCAGTAAGAAGGAACCAGGAAGAAACAGTAAAAAGGCTGCAGAAAGAGTCAGGAGCCTAGAGGTGGGGGCAAAGGAGGCAAGAGGGTGGTGGCAGAAAGTGGAGACGAATGCAGACGACAGAGCATTGTTACAGAGCAGGAAAGGAGGTGAAAGGAGAACATTTTAAAGAAGAACATTTTCCGTCGCCCTCCGGATTCGAACCCGGGACCTGTTGAATGAGAGGCCAACACCTTAACCTCTTGGCCACGAGAGCCCCCACTTTGCGTTCTGCCAAATGGCTTTTGTATACACAGTTCGGACAGTTGGCTTCGTGTTTTGTCCTATATAACTATGACGTCAGAAGCCAGCCGTTACGCTTGATGTCCCCTCATGGATCTCAGGAGCAGATAGTGACAAGACCAGTTCCGACGAGGGGGTAACAAGGGAACGTGATCACAAACTGGGGGTGGGTGGGGAGGGGAGGGGGGCTACATGGTAGTTCCAGAGAGAGACGAGGGGAGAGAGAGAGAGGGAGAGGGAGAGGGAGGGAGGACGGAGGGAGGGGAAGAGAGGGGGAGAGCGGGAGAAAGAGGGGGAGGGAGATCGATAAATAGATAAAGAGAGAGATAGGTAGATAGGTAGATAGGTAGATAGATAGATAGCTAGATAGATAGATAGATAGATAGATAGATAGATAGATAGATAGATAGATAGATAG